TAACTGTCTTCTTTTCAGAAGTGTCTGTTCATATCCATTGCCCACTTTTTGATGGGCTTGTTTGTTTTTTTCTTATAAATTTGTTTAAGTTCTTTGTAGATTCTGGATATTAGCCCTTTGTCAGATGGATACATTGTAAAAATTTTCTCCCATTCTATAGGTTGCCTGTTCATTCTGATGATAGTTTCCTTTTCTGTGCAGAAGTTCTTTAGTTAATTAGAGCCCATTTGTCAATTTTGGCTTTTGTTGCCATTGGTCTTTGTGTTTTAGTCATGAAGTATTTGCCCATGCCTATGTCCTGAATGGTATTACCTATGTTTTCTTCTAGGATTTTTATGGTTTTAGGTCTTACGTTTAAGTCTTTAATCCATCTTGAGTTAATTTTTGTAGAAGGTGTAAGGAAGGGATCCAGTTTCAGCTTTCTACATATGGCTAGCCAATTTTCCCAACACCATTTATTAAATAGGGAATCCTTTCCCCATTGCTTGTTTTTGTCACGTTTGTCAAAGATCAGATGGTTGTAGATGTGTGGTGTTATTTCTGAGGCCTCTGCTCTGTTCCATTGGTCTATATATCTGTTTTGGTACCAGTACCATGCTGTTTTGGTTTCTGTAGCCTTGTAGTATAGTTCAAAGTCAGGTAGCATGATGCCTCCAGGTTTGTTCCTTTTGCTTAGGATTGTCTTGTCTATGTGGGCTCTTTTTTGGTTCCATAGGAAATTTAAAGTAGTTTTTTCCAATTCTGTGAAGAAAGTCAATAGTAGCTTGATGGGGATAGCATTGAATCTATAAGTTACTTTGGGTGGTATGGCCATTTTTCACAATATTGGTTCTTCCTGCTCATGAGCATGGAATGTTTATCCATTTGTTTGGTCCTCTCTGATTTCCTTTAGCAGTGGTTTGTTGTCCTCCTTGAAGAGGTCTTTCACATCCCTTGTAAGTTGTATTCCTTGGTTTTTTATTCTCTTTGTAGCAATTGTGAATGGGAATTCACTCATGATTTGGCTGTTTGTCTGTTATTGGTGTATAGGAATGCTTGTGATTTTTTATTTCTGCACATTGATTTTGTATCCTGAGACTGCTGAATTTGCTTATCTGCTTAAGAATATTTTGGGCTGAGACGATGGGGTTTTCTAAATATACGTTCATGTCATCTGCAAACAGAGACAATTTGACTTCCTCTTTTCCTAATTCAGTGCCCTTTATTTCTTTCCCTTGCCTGATTGCCCTGGCCAGAACTTCCAATACTATGTTGAATAGGAGTGGTGAGAGAGGGCATCCTTGTCTTCTGCCAGTTTTCAAAGGGAATGCTTCCAGTTTTTGTTCATTCAGTATTATATTGGCTGTGGGTTTGTCATAAATAGGTGTTATTATTTTGAGATACGTTCCATCAATACCTAGTTTATTGAGAGTTTTTAGCATGAAGAGCTGTTGAATTTTGCCGAAGGCCTTTTCTGCATCTATTGTGATAGTCATGTGGTTTTTGTCATTGATTCTCTTCATGTGATGGATTATGTTTATTGATTTGTGCATGATGAACCAGACTTGCATCCCAGGGATGAAGCCGATTTATTGTGGTGGATAAGCTTTTTGATGTGTTGCTGGATTCGGTTTGCCAGTATTTTATTGAGGATTTTCCCGTCGATGTTCATCAGAGATATTGCCCTGAAATTTTCTTTGTGTGTTGTTTCTCTGCCAGGTTTTGCTATCAGAATGATGCTTGCCTCATAAAATGAATCTTGGCCTGCCTTGCTAGGTTGGGGAAGTTCTCCTGGATAATATCCTGAAGAGTGTTTTCCAACTTGGTTCCATTCTCCCCGTAACTTTCAGGTACACCAATCAAACGTAGATTTGGTCTTTTCACATAGTCCCATATTTCTTGGAAGCTTTGTTTGTTTCTTTTCACTCTTTTTTCTCTAATCTTGTCTTCTCGCTTTATTTCATTGAGTTGCTCTTCAATCACTGATATCCTTTTTCCACTTGATCAATTTGGCTATTGATACTTGTGTATGCTTCATGAAGTTCTTGTGCTGTGTTTTTCAGCTGCATCAGGTCATTTATGTTCTTCTCTAAGCAGGTTATTGTAGTTAGCAATTCGTCTAACCTTTTTTCCAGGTTCTTAGCTTCCTTGCATTGGGTTAGAATATGCTCCTTTAGCTCAGAGGAGTTTGTTATTACCCACCTTCTGAAGCCTACTTTTGTCAATTCATCGAACTAATTCTCTGTCCAGTTTTGTTCTCTTGCTGGCAAGGAGTTGTGATCCTTTGGAAGAGAAGAGGCGTTCTGGTTTTTTGAATTTTCAGCCTTTTTGCACTGGTTTCTCCCCATCTTTTGGATTTATCTACCTTTGGTCTTTGATGTTGTTGATACTGATACTATTTTTTTCTGTTTGTTAGTTTTCCTTCTAACAGTCAGGCCCCTCTGCTGCAGGTCTGCTGGAGTTTGCTGGAGGTCCACTCCAGACCCTGTTTGCCTGGGTATCACCAGTGGAGGCTGCAGAACAACAAAGATTGCTGCCTGTTCCTACCTCTGGAAGCTTCATCCCAGAGGGGCACCCGCCAGATGCCAGCCCGAGCTCTCCTGTATGAGGTGTCTGGCCCCTACTGGGAGGAGTCTTCCAGTGTGGATACACAGGGGGTCAGGGACCCACCTGAGGAGGCTGTCACTTCTCAGAGTTCGAACGCTGTGCTGGGAGAACCGCTGCTCTCTTCAGAGTTGTCAGGCAGGGACGTTTAAGTCTGCTGAAGCTGCACCCACAGTTGCCTCCTCCCCCAGGTGCTCTGTTCCAGGGAGCTATGGTTGGCTCCACCCAGTTTAAACTTCCTGGGGCTTTGTTTACACTGTGAGGGTAAAACCGTCTACTCAAGCCTCAGCAATGGTGGATGCCCTTCCCCCCACCAAGCTCTAGCATCCCAGGTAGACCTCAAACTGCTGTGGAGCAGCAAGAATTTCAAGCCAGTGGATCTTAGCTTGCTGGGCTCCATCAGGGTGGGACCTGCTGAGCCAGGCACTGGAGAGAATCTGGTCTGCTGGTTGTGAAGACTGTGGGAAAAGCGCAGTATCTGGGCCAGAATGCACCGTTCCTCCTGGTACAGTCTCTCACGGCTTCCCTTGGCTAGGAAAAGGAAATCCCTTGACTCCTTGCACTTCCCGGGTGAGGCGATGCCCCACCCTGCTTCAGCTCACCCTCCCTGGGCTGCATCACTGTCCAACCAGTCCCAGTGAGATAAGCCAGGTACTTCAGTTGGAAATGCAAGAATCACACACCTTCTGTGTCAGTCTCGCTGGGAACTGCAGACTGGAGCTGTTCCTATTCAGCCATCTTGCCTGCCCACCCTTCACTATCTATTAATATATAGAGAGCAGTAATATTACCCAAAAAGGGAAAGTTAATCTTTGTAGTTAATCCTCTCCCCTGAGTCTCATTTTGCCTTTTCTAGAATTTCATAAATCTAAACTGGATTTATTTCATTGGTAACAGTGCTATTCATGTTGTCTTTCTTCCTTCTTGGGTCAGTTTTGGTCATCTGTGTCTTTCAAGGACTTTGTCTGTTTCATCAAGTTGTCAAATTTATTGGCATAAGGTTGTTCATAATAGTTCCTTATTATCTGGGTGGATCACATGAGCCCAGGAGTTCAAGAGCAGAACTAGAGACCAGACACAGAGAGACCCTGTCTCTACAAAAAAAGTTTTTAAATGAACCAGGTGTGGTGGTATGTGCCTGAGGTCCCAGCTACTCAGGAAGCTGAGGCAAGAGGATCACTTGAGCCTAGGATGTTGAGGCTGCAGTGAGCCATGATTGCCCCACTGCACTCTAGCCTGGGTGACAGAACAAGACCCTGTCTTGAAAAAAAAAAAAAAAGAGTTCCTTATTATCCTCTTAAGATCTGTAGGATATGTAGTGATGTCCCCTGTTTCAGTGTGTTATACACTGATATTAAAAAGAAAATTCAAACAGAGAATAACATTTTGCATTCTCTTTATAATTTTCTAATTTCTTGTCCTTTTATTTTCACTCATTAAACCTTTAGTAAAGTGCATCTAAGCCAGTGTGGTACAACAGAACATGATATTTGAATTGCCCCAATTTACGTTTAATCTCAGCCACTCACTAGCCCGTGGCCTCGAGCAGCTTACTTAACCACTCTGAGTCTTAATTTTATCCTCTGTCAAATGTGGATAAGAGTGCCTCTGCTGGGTTAGCTGAGGGGGGTGGGGGGATGGGGAGTCGCAGGGGGAGTGGGGGGCGGGGCTAGCAGGTGAAAGTGCTCAGTGAATGGAAGCCATTGCAGTGGTGATGGATGATGTGATGATGTGTTCCAAATCTTATTGCTCAGACTAGGACTAGTTAATGGTTTTAGGATAGTGGAAATTTTGAAAGCCTCTTGAAGCCCCTAGTTTTCCTAAATTCAACGTATTCTGTTTTATATTGTATGTAAGTAGAATCTGGAGTTTGTACACTGTGATGAACATAATTGAAACGTGGTAATGCTTTATTTAAAAGTCTGCTTTTTGGCTGGATACAGTGGCTCACACCTATAATCCCAGCATTTTGAGAGGACAAGGCAGGAAGATCACTTGAGGCAGGCATTTGAGACCAGCCTGAGCAACAGAGTGAGACCTGGTCTCTACAAAATAATAATAATAATAATAATAATAATAATAATAATAATAATAGTGTGGTGGCACATGCTTGTAGTCGCAGCTACTCGAGAGGCTGGGACAGGAAGATTGCTTAAACCCTGGAGCTCAAGGGTGCAGTGAGCCATCATCATGCCACTGCACTGCAGCCTGGGCAACACAGCAAGAACCTGTCTCAAAAAATAAAATTAAAGTCAAAATCCACTTTTAGCTTAGATATAATAAATCAGTATGAATGTTACTGAGGATGACGTTTGTACAAGAAAGTAAGATTTAAAACCCAAATCATTTAAGACAGGATTACAGAAATGATTATCTTTAATTTTTAAAAAATTTGTGCCTGTTTCTTGTTTCCTAAGGTGCTTAATTTACCCATTTCTGATGCGAGGAGGAAAGCCTATGCCACTGTTGGCGTGTACAATGGCGATTATGTTCTGTACCTTTAACGGCTATTTGCAAAGCAGATACTTGAGCCATTGGGCAGTGTATGCTGATGACTGGGTAACAGATCCCCGTTTTCTAATAGGTGAGTGTCCACAGCAGTGAACTCCGCCTTGTTCACATCACTGCTTTTATGTTGATGTCCCAGTGGTTTCTAATGAGAAGTCCAAGCTTCCTGTGAGAACAAAGACTCACAGCAGAGAGAGCAGCAGGACCCCGGAGTCCCCATGGGACAGCCCAGCTGTCTCAGCACAGCTCAGGGCAGGGAGGTGACGCAGGTGATGGGAACCTTCCCCCGCATGGGCAGGCACTGAAGCACAGGTGCCTGGTCAGGCCAAGAACCCAAAAATAGCAGCGCACTGTAGCAGAATGAGCAGGAACTAAAGATTGAGACACTTTGGCCACTCATTGACCACTTAATCTAAGACAGGACCCAAACCTCCTGCGGTTCCTTCTGTGACATGAGAAAAACCCAGCCTGGGTTATCTTCCTACAGTGCAGCTTTTGTGATTCTATGAACTTGAATCAACTTTTAGATTTATGAAGTTGATGAATTTTTTTATTTGTATCAGTTAATGTGAATTAATGTACATTTTCAACCTCTAATTATAACTTTATAAGTTCTGAGCAAAAATGAAAATAACACAGCCATCAACGATATTTGCAAGAGCATTAAAAATTCATAATCTGGCTGGATGCAGTGGCTCCCACTGTAATCCTAGCACTTTGGGAGGCTGAGGTGAGCAGAATCACTTGAATCCAGGAGTTCAAGACCAGCCTGGGCAACGTGGCAAAACTGCATCTCTACAGAAAATACAAAAATGTAGCCGGGCATGGTGACACACACCTGTGGTCCCAGCTTACTCAGAGGCACTGAGGTGGGAGGATCACCTGAGGTCAGGAGGTCAAGGCTGCAGTGAGCCATGATTGTGCCACTGCATTCCAGCCTGGGTGACAGAGTGAGACTCTGTCTCAAGTAACAACAACAACAAAACAAAAACTCGGGAGTCTTGTATATAAAAAAGGTTCTTCTATGTATTTGTTCAGTCTATCCTAGCATTTAGATATTAAACCATGCTGAGGTGTAGCTTACTCACAATGGCAGCATGCTAAAAGTTAGTCTGTCAGATTTGGAAACTACCCTGCAGTGCTTCCCCTTAAGCTACATAAAATAACCTGACATTGCATTTTTCTGCTTCTCCATGAGTATTAATTTATAATCATAGAAATAAACTAACACTTGGATAGCACTTTGTTCCTGAGAGGTCCCTTTCACATTTCTCAGTCATGTTTTTTGTCAGCAAATTAGAATTTTATTCCAAGGTTTCACCATACCTGAGGATCGTTACAGTGAGACACCTGTCCCTCCTCTACAAAAGGAGGGTTGGCTGAGAAGGCGTTTCAAGATCCTTTTCTAGCCCCAGAAATCTGTGCCTCTATGAAATGCTAGACTAAATTGTTTGGTACTAAATTGTTGTACAGTACCCCCAAATATCTTCTTGGTTTACCTGCTTTTTGACTTTATTTTCTTCTGCCCCACCTGTCAAGAGGAAGAACAGGCTTTTGAGTTCCTATGCAAATCACACGATTTATGCCTCCCCATGTTCTCTGAGGCAGAAAGGATGCCCATAAGACGTGAAAGGTCAGAAGAGTTACACAGCGGGCCCAAGATATCTAGACGCAGTGAATGGCAGAGTAGTGATTTCTGCCGCCTCGCCAAGCTGAGTGTCCACAAGTGGCAACAAGAAATAAGAGGAAAGGGAATTTCTTTTTAACTGAAGATATAGATTTTAAATGTTTACTAGAGAGTCTCGTGGAACTTACTTCTATGATGAACAACAACAAAAGAACCCTCCTATTTAAAGTAGCTCTGCGGATGGTTCGCATCATGTAGAGGTGACTGTGAAGCTGGTCAGAGATTCCAAACACCAAGAAATACAGACCTCTTGACTTCTCTACAATTAAACAGAAGGATTTGAAAAGGAAAAAATATGCCAATTGGAAGACAATCTAGGTTATGTTTTGTGTGTTATATTTCTTGCCTAGAGTTGTTTTTATGAGGGAACAGACATGAAATTACATAAATAAGTAATTATGCCTACTGTAGTTACTATGAAGTAATAACCAAATAATAATAAATTTCTTTTTCTTTTGCTTTTGTTTTTTTTTTTTTTTTTTTTTTTTTTGAGATGGAGGCTCACTCTATCGCCCAGGCTGGAGTGCAGTGGTGCAATCTCGGCTCACTGCAACCTCTGCCTCCTGGGTTCAAGAGATTCTCCTGCCTCAGCCTCCTGATTAGCTGGGACTATAGGTGCATGTCACTATGCCCAGCTAATTTTTGTATTTTTTTAGTAAAGACAGGGTTTTATCATGTTGGCAAGACTGGTCTTGGACTCCTGACCTCAGGTAATTCACCTGCCTCGGCCTCCCAAAGTGGTGGGATTACAGGTGTGAGCCACCGTGCCCAGCAAATTTCTAACAAAAAGTTTTCCAAAACAGCAAAAGTGGTTAATCTAAACTATTTTATAGAAAGATTTTAAGATTTTTTTTTTTTTTTTTTTTTGAGGCAGCCTGTCATCCAGGCTGGAGTGCAGTGGCACAATCTTGGCTCACGGCGACCTGTGCCTCCCAGGCTCAAGCAATTCTTGTGCATCAGCCTTGGAGTAGCTGGGATTACAGGTGTGCACCATCGCACCTGGCTGATTTATGTATTTTCAGTAGAGATGGGGTTTCACCATGTTGGCCAGGCCGGTCTTGAACTCCTGGCCTAAAGTGATCCACCCATCTTGGCCTCCCAAAGTGCTGGGATTATAGGTGTAAGCCACTGTGTCCAGCTAGATTTTAAGATTCTTATACATGGAATTAAATATTTAGCTTAGATGAACACAAGTACTAGTTTTCTTCCAGTCTAAGCAATAAAGGGAGCTTGTCTCCTAGAAGAAACATAAAGTAGCCATGTTATTTAGACAACATGATTTCTTTCTAGAACCTCATATTGGAAGCCCAATTACCTAGGGGTGAAATACTAAAATCCCAAAAAGTAGCAAGTCAACTATAAATGTATGGATCTAATAAATGACTTACAAAACCTATTATAAAACGTGGTATGAACTGCTTAGGAAAAAAAAAAAAGCTGATTACAGTGGCAAAATCAGAAGGAAGAAATCTTGAAACCCTTGCTATAGACCAGAAGGTTTTCCATATCCTTGTTCTAACTGTGAAAAAGTGTTCGATGTCACTGATGTGATGACTCAAATAATAATGATACCCCACGTGTACATTGATATTAATATTGAACTAAATGCCAGCATTAAGCAGCATCTGTCTTTCACATTTTTAAAAAGTATATCAGAACCATCAAGTTAACCCCTTTTTATCAATATTTCTTTTATAAAGCACTGTTTTGGCCTTTTGCCTTTTCTTGATGGAATTAATTGATGTAATACTAAGAACTCTCCTTTAAGTGATGAAAAATCCCTGCAGATTTGTTAGAATAGGAGAGAAAACTGGGGATACCGTGGGATTCTGGGGAGAGCCGTGCAGCCAGCCATGGTAGACTATTGTCAGGAACCGAGGAAGAAGGACTGACCGAGGAATGCTGATTGATGAGCCTGCAGGAATTCTGCGGTAGGGGAAACGTGGATGTGCATTAATTTGTTCAAATGAGGTCGTAAATAAGAGAAGACCAGAGATCGGCTCCTAGGAACTGCCACCCCTCAAGGGGCAGTGTACAGCCAGTGGTGACAGAGCAGCACAGGAGCATCACCCCTCCTGATCCATGTGGTGGAGATGGCAGCATTGCCTCATGCAGATTTTGTGAGAAATAAGTGGGATGAGTCTGTTTGGTGGGCTGACTCCTTGATGGTCCCTGGAAAGGAGCCTTGTGCCCAAGTCAGATTTCTATCCATACCTGTCATCCTGAAAATGTAGATTGTGATGATCAGGTCAAAATATTTTGAATACATTAGATGATGTATTTGTATTATTAGAAAAACAAAGTCCTGCTTAGCATACCTGACAACAGTGCTTGATGGTTTTTACTATCAGTTACGGCTAATATGTTACATTAACAATGGTAATATGAAGGGTTGCAATAATACTGTTCAGTCAGGCTGGGGCTCGTAGTGAAATTTTATGGTTTATTAGCCACAGTTATCTTGCAATTTTTTTCCTTTAGGTTTTGGCTTGTGGTTAACGGGTATGTTGATAAACATCCATTCAGATCATATCCTAAGGAATCTCAGAAAACCAGGAGACACTGGATACAAAATACCAAGGGGTACGTACTGAAAGTGAAGAATTTCTGTGAAAGTTGTGTGCCATGGTGCCTGTCTATTTTAGTGTTGCCAGCTCTAAGAAGTAGTAGCATGGTATTTATTAGCTACAAGTTTTCAGTATAAGTCATCATTATTAATAACAAGTGCTGTTGTTATTGTCTTATTAGAATAACAAAAGAACCAAATCTGGCTAACTGAACAGTTATTAAACAAAGCAGAAACTACAGTTATATCTGTGCTTGGAAAGAGAGGATGAGGAAGAATGTATGATTTACAAGGAGTGTCTGACACTCCATTATAGCAGTATAATGGAATAGATACTTTGACCCTCCTCTGAAAACAGTTTAAAATGTTGAAATATTTTGAAAATCTTCTTAAATGCATCAGTATACTATCAAGAAAGGAAGTAATCATCAGAGGACAAGATCTAGGTGAATGATGGAATCTGGAGCGTGTCTTTTGAGAATTTGTGATGAGGCACCAACCCCCATGCTGGTTTATAACCCAGATTCGCACTACTTGTATAGTATGAAAAATCTCAAGCCGTGAATTAATTTCCGTGGCCTAGGGTGGTGGTGGACTCTCCTGGCCAGCAAAAGCCCAGATCCCCAAGGGGATCTGCATTCAACGTGAGTCTCAAAGAACCCAATGTGCCACACTCCACAGAGTAAGAGGTACAGAACCCACAAGGAAGCACAGCACCATGAGGGAGAATGTAATTCAACGTGAAAGATTTCAGATGTTAGAATTAATAGAAACATTATAAAGTGAGTACTTTAAATGCTTTTTATAACGAGTAATTACAATTAGGAGTAAAGAAGCAATGTACCATAAAAAGGACTAGAAACCAATAGAGTTTCAGAAAAAAAAAATGTAAAGTACAGAAATCTAAAACTTTAATGGAGAAAGGGCATGACATCACTTAGTTTGAACTTCTTCCACTTATGTTCCGAGAAACCATATGAGAATAGCAACAAACGCAAACAACGCTCCAAATCCCAAATTACTAAAACTGTGACCCTGAGAACCTGGAATCAGCAAAGCCAGCTCCACACGTGATGGTAGTATGATAGAAGCGGCAGAGAAGAGAAAACATGACGGAGTCCTAGACAGGCTGCTGATCACCCATTCAGCCCCTGGGCGGATTGGGGAAGAATCCCCTCTTTGGTGTTGGGCTTATAAGCAAACTGCACCCTCATGGGGTCATCCCAAGGAGCCACTTCCTCTGGCAGGTACAGTGGCTGGGAGAGTGCAATGTAAGCTGGATGGTGGCCCCCTTGCTTCATGCCTAGCACCCTTGCATGGGAAACAGCATGATTCCAGATTCATTGGCAAGTGTTCATCCCCTGAAGGAGAGGGCCCTGTCCTAAGGAGGGGCTGCCATGAGCCAGACAAAGAAGGGAAAGGGCACAGTCCTGGGGGAGGGAGAATGAAAAGGTGCAGAAGATGCCAGAAGCCACAGACTGGCAGATTTGAGAAACACCACTTCCAAAAGAAAGGGCATCCCCAGAGACGGCAGGATCCCATGGGAGGGCCCTCCTGGGCCAGGCTGGTCATGGAAAGGCCTGACGTGCCTCATACAGAGGGTCCTGTCCACTGTCCCACAGTAGTTGAGATACCAAAAAAACTTTTCAGCCTCTTTCCCTCCATTTCCTGCTCTCATGTCTGATCCTTCTTCTAATCCAACATATTGAAACCTGAAGAACAAAAAAGGTACGATCCCCAAATCTGTGCAGTCAAAACAGTGGGACAGCAAAGAAGCAGCAAAACTTACCTGAGCAGAAACGTGTTTCACAAAGCAGAGGAAAATTGTAATCAAAATTCCAACATGAGTTTTAAAATGTGATGGAGGCTAGGCATGGTGGCTGCACCTGTAATCCCAGCACTTTGAGAGGCCAAGGTGGGCAGATCACATGAGGTCCGGAGTTCAAGACCAACCTGGCCAACATGGTAAAACCCCATCCCATGCCTGTAATCCCAGCTACTTAAGGGGCTGAGACACGAGAATCGCTTGAACCTGGGAGGCAGAGGGTGCAGTTAGCCAAGATCATGCCACTGCACTCCAGCCTGGGTGACAGAGTGAGACTCTGTCTCAAAAAAGTAAAAAATAAAAATAAAATGTGAATGGAGCAGTTGCAGGGTCTACACCCATCAGCTGAACAACACCTGCAACAAACCTGCAATCTACAAACTTAGCTTATTTTCTGTCTCAGTAAAGGGAGACCCCTCCCTGCCACATTTCCCTACAGTGCATAGCCTCCTTCCTGCAGCTAGTAATCAACCCAGCTTCCCGATGGCCTATGGCCATCAATGGCATCTCTGAGAACAGATAGGCCAAAGGAGATGTAGAAGCTTGGCTGCGACTCTCAGCCAGCAGGAAGTAGCACCAGACGTCGGTGCAGATGACATGGGACACATGAGACTTAGGGAAGAAAATGCTTCTAAAATTTATAATTCCTCCTATCCAAGTACTAACTAGGCTCGACCTTGCTTAGCTTTCAAGATCAGACAAGATCAAAATTCTTTATTTCTAATCATTAAATTAAAAGGCCCACAAGACCAGGGGAAAAAAAAAAAAAAAAACACCACAGAAGCATGTCAGAAGATAGAAATGAAAAAGCAAAGAATATGATACCTAGACTGGGTGCAGTGGCTCATACCTGTAATCCCAACACTTTGGGAGGCTGAGGCAGGAGGATCACTTGAGGCCAGGAGTTTGAGACCAGCCTAGGCAACATAGCCAGACCCCCATCTCTACAAGAAAAATGAAAGAAAATTAGCCAGGCATGGTGGTGCACACTTGTAGTCCCAGCCACTCAGGAGGCTGAGGTGGGAGGATCACTTGAACCCAGGAGTTCGTGGCTACAGTGAACCTCAATCATGCCACTGCACTCCAGAGGGAGACCCTATCAAAAAAAAAAAAAATTCTTATTGTGAATGACGTTTTTGGTGATAGCTGGAGAAGTAGGGAAAATATATCCATCTTAGGCGTGCTGAAGTCCATGAAGAAATCCAAAGCATTGGAACAGAACATATTTTTAAAACTAATTCAAGAAAGCTTTTGTGAAGTAAAACAAGACGCAAGAGTGTCTGCCGTTTGCAAGTGCACACCCTCTACCAGGGAAAGTCGACAGGAAACAGTGATGATCATCTGCACATGCCGTGAGTGGCTCATAAGGGAAAGTTTGTTAGATTCTTCAGGGCAACATTCAGTGCCAAGGCCTTAGAGGCAGCACCATGAGAGGCCCAAGGAATGTGGAAGCCAAAATTTTATCCTAGCTTTGGAGTCCCTCGTGTAAAATCTGTCAGGTTTTGAAGACTACAGGTATAGGTAATCTGGGTGCTGAGACCCATGAGGACTCCACCATGGTCGGCTTTGTGACTGGCCCCCCTCACTGCAGACTCTTAATTTGCATGGTGTTTTTATGTGACACACTCGTGGTTTCTAATACACAGGTGTGCCGTCTACATCCAGTGATTACGTGAGGTCTTTCAGAAACGCTTCCCGGGACTCTGTTAATAATGGTGCTGTAACTGGTTAGCGTCAAAGGAGCAAGTGACAAAATCAACAAATAAAGAGATAAAGAGAGGTGCACAGATAGGATGCCCATAGTCGGTATATACAGGCTGAACTGGGGCTTAGGGCAAGTGTTGTGGGCTGTGTGTGACGACCAGTTTGTGGTTTTGTAATGCGGCATCTGTAAGCAGCCTGTGTCTCAAGACGACATTTTTTGGCAGATTGGCATCTCCAGGTTTTCCAGTCTAATTACATGCTTACTGGTCCACCCATATGGTTCCACCAAATAATGTGCCCCACACTGGACCCTCCGAGAGAAGGTTCACTGAGCAGGCTGCATGCGGGAAGGCATCATGGCCCCAGCCCTCCCCACAGGCTGTCTGCCCTTTGGGTGACTGGCATCTGCAGGACGGGGTGCAAAGGTCCTTCCACTTCTGGGATTCAGCTGCCCAGGGCTCTGATGAAATACAGATGATCGTTAATGTCATCTTGCAGAAAGTTGAAGCAGTTACAGAAATGGGTGAGTAAGAAAGTGACAGTGACTAAGCTCCACGGTTCAGAGGGAACAGTGCTGTGAATGGTTTGGGTCCATTCTTGCAGGTGCATATGCCCACACATTGTGAATGACATTCTATTTACTGGGCATTAAGTTTGATATTTTTATGTATTATATTGTCATTAAAAAGTTTACTTGTCAATGAATATTGCTATTTGTATTAGTCTGTTTTCACTCTGCTATAAAGAACTACCTGAGTCTGGGTCATTTATGAAGAAAAGAGGTTTAATTGACTCACAGTTCCGCATGGCTGGGGAGGACTCAGGAAACTTACCATCATGGCAGAAAGCGAAGGGGAAGCAAAGACCTTCACATGGCGGCAGGAGAGAGAAGAAGCGAAGGGGGACCTGCCTCACACTTTCAAACAGTTACATCTCATGAGAATTCACTAGCACAAGAAACCGCCCCCATGATCCAGTCACCTCCCACTGGGTTCCTCTCTTGTCCTGTGGGGATCACAGTTCAAGATGAGATTGGGTGGGGACACAAAATCAAACCGTATCAGTATTATTTTACAATTATGAATTATTTCAAGCTTACAGAAAAGTAGTAGAGAGCTCAATATTGCAAACATCTACACACCCCCACCTTCCCTCAATAAGAAAAAGAAAAGCACTTTGCGGTCTTAGGCTCAGCAAAACCATTTTTTCTTTTTAAAAAATAGACCATCTCAGGCTGGGCGCCGTCGCTCATGCCTGTAATGCCAGCACTTTGGGAGGCTGAGACAGGTGGATCACCTGAGGTCAGGAATTCGACACCAGCCTAGCCAACATGGTGAAACCCCGTCCCTACTAAAAATACAAAACTCCAAAAAAAAAAAAAGATCATCTCAGCTCCAGCCAGAGCCCTCGTGCACGTAAGTTGCAGTGTGCTCAGAGAACTAGTCTCTACCCTATGCTGCAGTATTTGTTGCAATTGGTCTTATGACTTAGGGTGTAATCGGTTTGTCTTTTTTTTTTTTTTTTTTTTTTTTTTTTTTGAGACAGAGTCTAACTCTGTCACCCAGGCTGCAGTGCAATGAATGGCACAATCTCGGCTCACTGCAACCTCTGCCTCCTGGGTTCAAGCGAGTCTTATTCATCAGCTTCCCGAGTAGCTGGGACTATAGGCAGGCACCATCACACCTAGTTAATTTTTGTATTTTCAGCAGAGATAAGGTTTCACCATGTTGGCCAGGCTGATCTGGAACTCCTGACCTCACATGATCCACCTGCCTCAGCCTCCCAAAGTTCTGGGATTACAGGCGTGAGCGACCGCACCCGGCCTAATTTTTTAAAAAATGCTCTGTCCTTATATGCCTTCCGAATTTTCTCAGCTCTGCAGACATAGTGCCCAACCGGAACCCAGGGCAGAATACATCAGGCCTCTCTAGAACACCCTTGAGTAGCCACAAAGCTACAGCATGAGGGTGAGTCCCAAGTCCCAAGGAGGGGCCTCCTGCCCTCCTTCTCTGCTAGGACCCCTCTCCCCACCCCTCGTCCGGTCCTTGGAGTGTGCCAGCCATTGCTCTCCGCCTCAGGGCCTTTGCTGCATCTCTTCTCTTGCCTGGAGCACTCCTGAGAGCACCCCCAGCACCTGCCAGGCTGGCCCTCACTTGCAAGCCTCGAATCGACCCTCACCTTCCCTGTGAGGCTTGTTCCCAGTCACTCTGTGATGGTGACCTCCTCCACCCCATCCCAGTTCCAGGGCCCCTCACTACTGTGTCCTGCCTCTCACTACTCCTCCCCCTCCATGTGCTGCATGCTCTCTTTGTTCATGACACTGGGGTTTATGGTTCTAGATGTGGGGAGGGGGTCTGTCCAAGTGCCTGGGCAGGGCCTGGCCCATAATACTGACTCAGCGCATTTGTGAAGATGTGATGAATGAATGAATGAATGAATCTGTGCTTGAAAGTGAATATCTTCGTCACTCATTGCTCTAGGGTTCTATTTAGGTCCATTTTACTTGCTAGTTCATTGTTAGTTGTTACTCTGTATTCTCTGCTTGCATGATCCATCAACAGGTGCAGTGGTTTAGTGCTGTCTTCCACTGTAACTGTACATGTATGTATTCACATAGACGGGTATTGATATATATATGTAGTTGATGATCAGAAGCTGTGATATGAATTAGTAAACCATGTAACGCTGGATATGTCTTATTGATTAACATCCTATAAGGGAAATATTTTTCCGTTCTTGAATTTATGTTCTCCAGGTAAGTATTCACTAGCATCTCTGAAGTCCATATTTCATTTTGTAGTAAATGTACTACTTTGGTCTGTGTTTTCTTCTAGGAGGCTTATTTGAATACGTAACTGCAGCCAACTATTTTGGAGAAATCGTGGAGTGGTGTGGCTATGCCCTGGCCAGCTGGTCTGTCCAAGGCGTGGCTTTTGCTTTCTTCACATTTTGTTTTTTATCTGGTAGAGCAAAAGAGCATCATCAGTAAGTTTTGAAACACTTTTACCATTTGTAATTTGTTCTTTGACTATATTATTACCCTTTTTCAGGATAGATTTTTGAAGTGTTCATTTAAATTGCTGAATTCCAGTTTATTCTGTGCTTTGGCCAAACAAGTACAAAACCAAACCAACAGCTGTAGAATCACCCAGCTCTAAGGAATTGTCAGATCCACATAAGCAGAGTTGTTCTCTATACCACGTCCTTAGCCTCTCTGAATTGACATTGCTGGAGTCAGTGGTGCAGCTGGACACCAAGCAGGGGATTCAGGGCTCTGAGTGGGAAACATTGATTAAAACAGAACCCTGACTGAGCAAAGCCAATGGCCAGCGTGTAAATGCTGCAGGTTGAGGAAGCCCTGAAGAGAAAGGTGAAGCCCAGAGCCCGGCAACACTGGCAGAACTCGTGCACACAGAGCTCTCTAGCTATGTGGTGACTCAGGCCATGGCTCTGAACCTGGGGTCCTTGATGGGCTACAGAGGCTCCCTGTGCCCCCTAAAATGACATTTTCCAGAGACCAGGTCCTTGCCTTTCCTCTGATCCCCCAAAGGGCTTGTGAGCCATTTGACCAACACACTCATAAAGAAATCAAAGGGATCGGGCACGGTGACTCACACCTGTAATCCCAGCACTTCGGGAGGTCGAGGCCAGTGGATCACATGAGGTCAGGAGTTCAAGACTGGCCTGGCCAACATGGTGAAACCCCATCTCTACTAAAAATACAAAAATTAGCCAGGCGTGGTGGCAGTCGCCTGTAATCCCAGCTACTCGGGAGGCTGAGGCACAAGAATCACTTGAACCTGGGAGGTGGAGGTTGCAGTGAGCTGATATCGTGCCACTGCACTCTAGCCTGGTTGATAGAGTAAGACTCAGTCTCAAAAAGAAAGAAAGAAATCAAAGGATGTCAAGGCTGAAGTGAATTTAGAGAACATCTTTCTAACCCAATGGTTGAGGAAACTGAGGATCAAGGAGCAGAGTCTGAGGCCTGCCAGGAGCCCCATCTCATTGACAGGAAGAGATCTCAGCCACAGCGTGGAATCTTTACCTGCCCTGACACAGGCGTGTGTCCCTGACAATAAATGATGGAGACTGGGCTTAGCAAGTGGCCAGCCTGGTATGCACATTTACCGTGTGCCCTGAGCCACTCGCTTCATCCACTCAAAACATCTAACCAAAATCTCCAAAGCTGCCAGTACTACGAGGTGTGCAAAAATGTGTAACTCTGTCCTTCTTCATGGAGTTTATCATCTTTTTTGGGACTGAGGACAGAGAGAAAAAGCTAAAAGAAGAATAGATTGATAGCATGGTATAGTGGGAAAAGTACCTAGGTGTACTTCCCAGCCTCACCACGTGTTTGCAGATGCAAAGGATGATTATTGGAGATAAGAAGAAGAAAGGTCATATCTGAAGTATCTCTTTGTCTAGTTTGTTTGTTTTTTTTTTTTTTTTAAAGACAGCATCTTGCTCTGTCACCCAGGCTGGAATGCGGTAGCACAATCTCAGCTCACTGCCACCTCTGCCTCCTGGGCTCAAGCGATCTTCCCACCTCAGCCTCCCGAGTAGCTGGGATTGCAGGCACACACCACCAGGCCTGGCTAATATTTTTTTTTTTTTTTTTTTTTTGAGGCGGAGTCTCGCTCTGTCGCCCAGGCTGGGGTGCAGTGGCCAGATCTCGGCTCACTGCAAGCTCCGCCTCCCGGGTTCCCGCCATTCTCCTGCCTCAGCCTCCCGAGTAGCTGGGACTACAGGCACCCGCCACCTCGCCCGGCTAGTTTTTTGTATTTTTTTAGTAGAGACGGGGTTTCACTGTGTTAACCAGGATGGTCTCGATCTCCTGACCTCGTGATCCGCCCGTCTCGGCCTCCCAAAGTGCTGGGATTACAGGCTTGAGCCACCGCGCCCGGCCTCAGGCCTGGCTAATTTTTTATATTTTTTGTAGAATTGTGGTCTCACTATATGGCCCAAGCTGGTCTTGAACTCCTGGACTCAAGTAATCCTCGCACCTCAGCCTCCTGAAGTGCTAGGATTAGAGGCATGAGCCAACGTGGCTGGCCTCTTTGTCTAATACTTGAAGAAGTGATAGCATAAATGTGAGAGCTGATGAGAGCTCTCAGGGCAGCACCCTTCATTCTTTCCAGACACTCCATTGTGCCAGGGACCTGGTATTTTCATGCATAGAGAGTGAGGAGAACAAAATCAGAGCCACGACCTACCTAAATCCTGTAGCTGCTGAGAAAAACAGCGGGGTCTGCAGAAAGTTGAGTGAGTGCCGAAGGCAGAGAGGGTTTGAGAAGGAGGCTCGATGCCAGGCATAGCAGAAACACTGTGGGCCAGGAATGGGCCTTCTGTGCTGGGAACTTTGTTCGCCAAAAAGTCATATGGGAGTCCTAAGCCCTGGTACCTGTGAAAGCAACCTTACGGGGGAACATATTCAGTTGAGATGAGAAGGGGAAACGTGGATACAGACATACACCAGGTGATCACACAGAGTGGGAAGGCCACGGGAAGCTGGACAGAGAGGCAGGGGCGATGCAGCCACGAGCCCAGGAACAACACGTGGCACCACCAGAGCTGGGGGAGATGGGACTGGAACCTTCCCTGAACCTCCAGAGGGAGCGGAGCCCTGCTGCCACCTTGATTTCCAACTTCTGGCTTCTAGAACTGGGAGAGAATTGATGGTCGTTATTATAAGCCACCCAGTGTGGGGTAACTTTGTTCTAGCAGCCACAGGGAACTGATATACTGGCCTTCCGGCCATTTAAAATTGACTGGGAAAGTAAGGGCAGGAGTATGATTTGTGAACCCTTCTGTTTTCTCCTTTGCCAGATGACTTTGTTGTCACAGGTTCGGTTGAGATACTACGTCATCACTCTAAATATACATTCTAGAGTCTGACTTCCTCCCCTCTGCCCCCGCTGCTCCCAGCACTGCACCCGGCCTGGGCTACGCTTCCCGGTGAAGATGCCATCCTTCTGCATTTCTAATATTTGATGCAAAGAAGCAAGTAATGGCTCATTTCTCTTTAAAAAAAACAAATGAGATAACACTGACATTTAAAAAAACATGGATCAGCGTAAGATTGAACACGGGCACACCAAGTCAGTGGTAAACATGTTTTCTCAAATGAAATCAGGAAACAGGAAAACCCCTCTCAGTATATGAATATGAAACATATAGAAATGGAAAATAAGTAATTCAGTTATCTAAATGAAAGTCTTTGCTAACAAAAACCCAAAGATACTCTTTGCAGAAGAATTCATGAGTTGAAAGAGCTCTTTGTCATTCATTTGCTGTTTAAATTGGTGTCAGTGTGAAACCAGTTTTAAGTCTTGAAGAATTAATCAATTCAGTTTTGCAGAATTATGTTCAGAAATGTAGGACTTACAAGCTGAGAATAAAATAAAAACTCTTTTTTAAAAAATATTTTCATAAACCCAACTAATTAAGCCATCAAATAAACGTATTCCAAAAGAAAACATGCCAAGGATCTATTCCTTGCACTCCATTTGATGGATTATAATGTTCTTTTTTTTTTTTTTTTTTTTTGAGACAGTCTCGCTTTGTCTCCCAGGCTGGAGTGCAGGGGCGCGATCTTGCCTCACTGCAAGCTCCGCCTCCCAGGTTCATGCCATTCTCCTGCCTCAGCCTCCCTGTAGCTGGCACTACAGGCACCTGGCTAATTTTTTTGTATTTTTAGTAGAGATGGGGTTTCACCGCATTAGCCAGGATGGTCTTGATCTCCTGACCTCACGATCCACCCGCCTTGGCCTCCCAAAGTCTGGGATTACAGGCGTGAGCCACTACGCCTGGCTGGATTATAATGTTCTAAAAACAAAACTGTATTACAGTGAAATTCTTTCTAAAATAATTAGTATTTAAATTCATAAATGATTGCATTGATAGTTAAACTCTAGGTCAGAAACAGTCAACTGTGCTGGGTTGCTAACAAATATTCTCTTTAAAGGCAAAATTTAAAGGTATTCTAAGGAGTGAGAAAAATTTAATCATTTAACAATAAATATTTTATTTCCATATAATGGTTTCTGTGAAATACATTTAACCTCTTCAGCCAACATCCCTTCATTACGTGAGAACATCCTGACCTCACACATGTTCTTTCTGATGTCACGGAGCCCAGCCTTGCTGCCCAGCCTGGCTGGAAGGAGTGTTTTCTCGGCGTCCTGCGGCAGTCCTGTGTCTCCTATCTCCCACCTACCCTCTCGTGTTTGCCCATTTCAGGCTCTCCTGCTGTCATGCACTCTGCCCTTGACTTTTCGGGCCAGGGTGCCCGTCTTCCACGGGCAGTTTCTGGGAGAGAGGAGCTCACCCGCTATGACCCTGTGCGGCATCCAGTGCCACTGGCCCGTGGGGAAGCTCTTCGGCACTTGCAAGGGGTGGATGGCCTGGATCCCAGCAGGCCTGTGAAAACCTTCAGCCTCTAACCAGTGAACATGTTTGCAGTCCACTTCTACAGGCTTCACACCAGCGGTGAAAACCTTCAGCCTCTAACCAGCGAACATGTTTGCAGTGCACTTCCACAGGCTTCACACCAGCTGTGAAAACCTTCAGCCTCTAACCAGCGAACATGTTTGCAGTGCACTTCCACAGGTTTCACACCAGCGGTGAAAACCTTCAGCCTCTAACCAGCGAACATGTTTGCAATCCACTTCCACAGGCTTCACACCAGCGGTGAAAACCTTCAGCCTCTAACCAGCGAACATGTACATGTTTGCAATCCACTTCTACAGGCTTCACACCAGCGGTGAAAACCTTCAGCCTCTAACCAGCGAACATGTACATGTTTGCAGTCCACTTCCACAGGCTTCACACCAGCTGTGAAAACCTTCAGCCTCTAACCAGCGAACATATTTGCAGTCCACTTTCACAGGTTTCACACCAGCTGTTGGGCTTGGCCATGTTGTGTGTTGGGCACTTGGGTCCATATGCCACCACTGAGCCGCATAGCTGGAAAGGCTGCAGTCTCAAGGCCTCATGCCAGGGGAAGTGATACTTGACCCGGAAGTCCTGACCAACTTCTTAGAATTGTTCTTATTACATGCCTTTTTGGGGACACAGAATATAAAAAAGTAAACGTGGCCGCCCAGTATGTTCAAATTCTCTATTTGTGGATTCCGGTGTTAAACTTAGCTAAGACCAGCAGGGTTTTGCCAGCTGCCTCTCAGTTTCTCATTCTCATATGTTTCTACCACATGAACAGTGAGCTAATTGCTTTCTCTTATGATTTTTAGTCTGTTAATCTTTGCGTGTTTATAGAAACTCCCTTTTATGACTATTTCTCCATCTTGTCAAATTATTTCTAATTTTTACTCCATCCACTTAGTTGCCACCTTTCCCAACTGGCTATTACCCCCAAAACAAATGAGCATGCCTTTGTTGATACAATTTATATCAAAACTGAAAATACTGTTTGTTTTGAGCACAAGGCTGAATTGTGGACAACGCCGTACTACATTTTCCCAGATTTCACTGAATCCTTACTAAGAGCTGTTCCTGAGCCTCCTGGTACACAGCTGGGTGCCCACTCTATACACCCTGGGCTAGGCCAGTAGTTCTCGACTGCAGACTGGAGAAAACTCTTAAGAGTCTACCAGCAGCGATTCAGAAGCACCTACTTGGTCCTGCCCCTCCTCCAGCCTGCATGCTTTCCCCAGGGACTGAAAAGACAGCTCCACAATGTGCTGTTCAGTATTTTCATCAAATGTCAGTAATTTTCCTTCCAGATAGAAAGCTGAATTCTATGGGCTACTTCTTCTGAATCACACTTTATGATTAGATATATTTAATTCTTCATAATATAGGCAAAATTAAACTATAAGTATGAAATGCCAAAGTTTTTGTTACTACATTTAAAAACTGAGTAGTCTTTTGTCATGAAAAATATCGTCACTTTTGTTAGCATCTGTTAAATGTCTAAGTGACAGAATTATTCCCTTTTTAAATTTTTTTTTCTTATTTTTAGGTGGTACCTCCAGAAATTTGAAGAGTATCCAAAGTTCAGAAAAATTCTAATTCCATTTTTGTTTTAAGTGCATTTTCAACGAAATTATCTTCAACTTGAAGCTTTCCAATGGTGTTTCTCTAGGGACTTTGTAAATAAGTTATATCTTTGTAATTTTCCTGCTACTTCATCATTTTCAAGATGTCCTCTAGAAATATTTTTTCTAGTAATTTTGCAAGCTACCTAATAAGTACTTAAATAAACTGAAATGGAGGTTGAAGTATCCTACTGTGTAACAGATCAGAATTTCAAACTCCAGGTCATAACTGCTGACATTTGTTCTAATTTCGAATTTACCTCTTTTGGCTATGTCTTGCCAAGTGTGTCTAAGACTAGAGTTTACAACTGTCTTTGATGGCATTTTCAGAACAATAAATGTCACAATCCCTTCTATAGCCCCTACAGTGATCCCTTCAAAGTCAACAGCAGTGTTGCTTTCCTCCCCCTGTAGGGCTGGGATATGTCTTGGAGCCCTCCCTCGGAGGCCACAGAGGCCGGGGGTAGCCATTGTGCAGTCATGGCCCAGGGGAAACTTGCCAACCTTCGTTGTCAGGTGCTGTGTGTAAGTGGAGAACTTGGGGATAGAGGAGGAAGCTCCTCGTGGCCCTTCCAAGGCGGGGCAAAGGCATCTGGACTTGTTCCAGCCCAGCCCCCCAGGTGACATCACCAGGCAGGGAGGGGTGCTGGTGGTGGTTTAGATGGAATAAGTTGCTTTGCCTGTGCAAGTGGCTCCTGGGCCCTAAACAGGCACCTTTAGGCCATGGGTCACTCACCATGAGCCATCAATATGCTCTGGTCTGACATGGTTTCTCTTTGTCCTCTAGTCTAGACCTAGTTTTTTGTTCTGTTCTCCATGTATGGATATAGTAGTGATTATTGTCTGTGAAATTTCTCCTTTGTGGATTTTGAGTTTTCCATTGTAGTGTAAAGAATGATTACCTTCTGTAACAATAATAAGACCACTTTTTAAGATTTATCCTGTTCTTTGTCGATTGAAACATAATAATTATATTGTTAAGATTCTCTACAGCCTTATTTTTCTTCCATAGCTAATCTTCTAATAGTTTTTTGCTTTCTGTTTTGCTGTTGCTGCTTTGCAAAGCTTTTCCCTCATAGCCTGTACCTGTTATCAGTATAAAATAATCTTCCTGTTGAATGCTTCATGACTTGAATTCTACTTTGATAAAAACATTGCCATACTGCTTTTTATCTTGATGAATTCATCTGGCATTTCTTTGCTTTATCGTCTCATCTGGAGTTTTTAAATGCCATTTGTTTTAGTTGTCTTTAACAACATAATAAATAGACTTTGCCATTTAACAAGGTAGCTCAAATTCTTTTACTAATTGTTACATCGAAACATTCTTTCATCGTGTTTCCTGTTTTTATTTGGTTTTTTCAACTTCTTTGTTTACTATCTACAGTGATTTGGAAAGGAGATTTCCTTTAAAACAAACAAGCTTATTGGGAATGGCTTTTATGATTTTTAAAGTAGCCTTGAGAGCTTCCAGTTAAATCTGATGAGCTGAACATACACCTTTCCTTCTCCCCTCTCTATCCTGACCCCAGTTGAAATCACCTAAAAGGAGTTTAAGTGGGGGAGTGGCCCCATAAAGAGAGTGAAAGAGAGTCAACACTGCAGACAGATCACAGCACAGGTGGAGATGGGCCTGATGTGGCAGAGCAGAGAGGCCATGACAGCACGCGCCCAGCCGAGACCCTGGGTCCTCACACCTGGGCTGACAGAAGGCAGAGGGATATGAGCACCTCAAAGTGAGACCAACTAAACATGGTGCCCGCAGCAGAAAGCAGTGTCCTCTGCACTCCCACTCCCCACAGAGAGCACATAGAGCCCAGAAATGAGCCATGTGCCCATTGCCGGGGAAGAGAAAGGTAGGCTGAGGAGGTGGTCTGTCCTAACACAAAAATTAAGTAAATGGGGAAAAACAGAGAACTAGGTGTTGGCATCCCAGGAAAGAAAATAAAGTCTCCACATTTTGGTCTTCAGGGATCCTGCCCCATAATGGCTGGTTACCTCCTGCCTCAAGCTGCAGGGAAGCTGGGGGTGGCATGGTGCCCCTGCAATGAACTCTCCTGCTCAGCCTTTCTGGTCCTTCTTAGAAAATGTGAACCAGTGAGCAAGGAGCGCCTGGTACATAGAAAAATCTACATCATGAAAGAACAATGAAAGCCTCTTCAAGAAAACATGATCCTAGGCATCAAAGGGAATTTTTAAAAAGAAATTGTAACTTCAGGGAGATTCAGCATCCACAGAGGAATGGACATCACTCACTGTGGGACATCACATACTGGAATACTACTCAGCAATGTGAAGGAATGGACTGTTGATGAATATTTATAAATCACATATCTGGTAAAGGTTTTAATATTCATAATATGTGAAGAACTATCAAAATTCAATAATAAAGCATATGTTTTGTAAATGGGCAAATGATCTGACACTTCACCAAATAATACATACAGTGGCAAATAAGTACATGCAAAGATGCTTAATGTCTTTGGTCACTGGGGAAACATTAATAAGATATCAGTACACATCTATGAGCCTTTCACAAAACTGATTTGAATGCTGAAATCTATAAAAACTCATTCTGTTGAACAGTAAACTGAGGCACAGATAAATTTTAAAGAATTTATTTGATCAAACAACAATTCATGAACTAGGCAGCTCCAAACCAGACATGGTTAAGGAGCTCCACTGGGGGGAGCAAGGAGAAGGCTTCCATAGGATGGACACAGAGGAAAGCAGCACAGTGTGTGACTCCAGCTGCACAGCTACCTCATTTGGTCTGTTCCCTTGGAAGATCCCTGGTTATATAAGTTTGGTGCCTGTCCTGGTCAGTTGAGCTTAAATCCTGTTTTTCTTCAGTATAGGTATTTACAACAAATAGCTCAAGTTAAGTTTTGCTTATGTTTGCAAAGCAAGCAAGGGTTATGTCATTTATGAGGCCTAACTGGTTTTGTCCGCCCAGGGATTCTTCAGGTCTGGTCTCCATTCTAATTTACTTTAACACTTCTACATATGATAGTCCCCAAAATGTGAACATTTTCCCAATAACACTTGTAAGCCATAACTTATTTTCCTCCATTAAATATTGTTACATTTACTTCAAATAGTTTTAAACTCCTTAGAAACTATGCATTTGCTCAAACAGCCTGTTCTTCAGTTAAAGTTCAAACCCATTTGATCAGAGAAAAGCAAACATTATTAACTAAGAATATGATTGTGTTAGTCTGTTTTCATGCTGCTGATAAAGACATACCTGAGACTAGCTAATTTATAAAGAAAAGAGGTTTAATGGACTCATGATTCCACGTGGCTGAGAAGGCCTCACAATCATGGCGGAAAACACGTCTGACCAGAGAATGACAGCCAAATAAAAGCGGAAACCGCTTATAAAACCATGAGATCTCGTGAGACTTATTCACTACCGTGAGAACAGTATGGGGGAACCGCCCCCGTGATTCAATTACCTCGCACTGGGTCCCTCCCACAACACCTGGGAATTGTGGGAGCTACAATTCAAGATGAGATATGGGTGGGGACACAGCCAAACTATATCAACCTTTTTTTTTTTTTCACTTGTGAAGGTAAAACATTTAATTTAAAAATGTTGACACTACAATGTATTAAATAGTTATAAATGGACACAGTGTATTCTATAGCTGCCAAGTTTACTTTTTTTTTTTTTTTTTTTTTTAAGGAAACTGTAAGTTACACTGTGGTTAAGACTTGTACTTTCACCCTTGAAAAAGCCCACATTCTATCACAGCGATGTATGGTCAGACTTAACAGCCCAAATTGTTAAACACTTGGATCAAGTCATAACTGGTTTTATTGCAAAAGGACCCTGTACACATTTATCAATTCTAGTACCTTAATAGCTAACCGACAAGTCATTAACATACAGAAACATGCATCGTAAGAAGCAAGAAATATCATCCATCCCTTCCGCATATTAGCAGCTTGTCACTCCTGAGCGACAGTGCTCACATCCCTGAGGTCAGTGGACACTCACTTTCCACATTCCTCCTGAGTGAAAGATGGAATGACTTAAGTACAAATGCAGCATATTATAAACAATTTCTTACAAAAGTCACAAACCAAAGTATTTTACAGAATTTACTACAAAACGCCATAAAAACTGCCTTCACTGAAGCTCTCTCTCCCGGTATCCGGCAAGCCAACTGGATGTCTTTGGGCATGATGGTGACTCTCTCAGCTTGGATGAGATAGTATCTTCTCATGGATGAGATAGTGTCTCTCAGCGTGGATGGATAGTATCTTCAAACAGACTCACCGGGTAGCTTCCTAGCCTCCTGCCGCGCACGGATGGCTGCGCTGGGAAACCTCAGGTTGGTTTTGAAATCGGGCGCGATCTCCTGCACCTGGCTCTGCAAAGGCAGCTTCCGGATGAGCAGCTGGGCCGACTTCTGATAACCACGAATCTCTCGCAGCGCCCCGGCCCCCGGCCTGTAGCGATGAGTCTTCTTCACCGCCCCCGGAGAGGGGCGCTGTCCTGGCGGCTTTCGTGGCCAGCTCCTTGCGGAGGGCTTTTCCCTGGGGGATTTACAAGCTGTCGGCTTGGTTCGGACTATTTCTTTTTCCCCAGTGCTGAAGTTTGAGGCCACAGGCGCGGAGCGAAAAACCGACGCTACTCCAACGAAAGACCAAACCGCTCTGCGCTGCAAAGACCTTGACTAATAAAAATTTAACCATTTTTATTAATTAAACAAAAAATCCAGTCTAAAAATGGTTTCATTCCACAAAGAGGCATCTTTCCAAATCGCAGTCAAAAAGACGAGTACTTCTCAACTTTACTTTCTATTACTTGCTATAGAATTCCCTCACAAAATTGCTCTCCAGCACACCAGAACAGCATTTGTAGAATGGTATTAGGGTAATGACAGTGTGACGCTAATTGTCTGATACACATTAACAAAAGCAGGTCACTGCTGGTCACCATAGCAAGACATTCAGCTAATAAATGGTTACCCGCTGAATCTTTACTTAGGACATTAATTGCTTCACCCACATAAAAATAAACAGCAGCCAGGAGACTACCCTAGTCAATGTCCAGAGGGTCCCCTTTCTTTCCGTTTTCTGCAGGCGAGTCCTTTATGTTTAGAAACCTTGCCTGTGTGACATGCTCGTGCCACCACGAGCAGGAGGTCACCGGAAGCTCAGGAGCCTCCTATTCCCCAGGCTGACTGGGGCCGTGGAGGCTGGGGAACGGGCACACACGTGCCCCCATTAGCTAGATGAGGCTCACGTTCCGTTTCTTCCGGAAGCGCTGCGCTAGACTGTGGCCTGCTGGAGTGCAGCAACCAACTCTAAGCCATTCGCTGCCATCCACCCTAAGACCTGGTAGGGGGCCTGGGACTTAGTCAGGGCTTAAAACACATTTGCTAAACGACAACAAAATGACTCACATATTGCTTCTCACTCGAAGCAGAAAACCAAGGTAGAAAGACGACAGGGAAACGCAGCCAGGGGTGTGGATCCTGAAGAGACGCCTGAAATGAGTGTCCTGTACAGTGGGAAGGCTGGAAAAGTGTTTGCCAGTTACTGTTTCTGGCTAAAGGTCATTCAGGTCCACATGCCCAAACACAACTAATCTGTGCATTTTGAGATCCGTGGATGGCCTTGTAACCCTGTGTCCTTGAAAGCAAATTAGTGAGTGCCCAAGGTAGCCTGGGAGGGTGTCCCCCCTGGGGCCACTTCTGGGTAGAAGCAACTTTCAAAGCCAAAGCCCCCCAGGCCAGTTTGGGGCCCCCACATCTGCTTCTCCACTTACTCTCTTATCTGATCTTCTTCAAGTGCTGGCTCAGAGCTGGCCAGCATCACCACTGATGAGACTGGGTTATCTCTGGGTTCTGATGAAGCCCAAGATTGCCAAATAAATTGTGACTCCAGAATCCGTAGCTTAACCCTGGATGGGTGTCCTGGGTCCCTCCAGCCCTCCTCTAATGTCTCCTGGTGAGGACCCTCTGTCTGTTCCAGCCTCTGACAAAATACCATAAACTAGGTGACTTATATACAACAGAAAGGTATTGCCCACAGTTCTTGAGCATGGAAAGTCCAAAATCAAAATTCGGTGTCTGGTGAGGCCCCTGTTCCTGGTTCATAGGTGATACCTCCCTGTGCTCTCACCTGGAAGAAGGGACTAGCCAGCTCTGTGGGTCTCTTTCTAAGGACACGAATCCCATTCATGAGGCCTCCACCCTCATCACCTAATCATCTCCCAAAGGTTTCACCTCCTAACACCATTGCATTGTGGGCTAGTTTCGAACATTTG